GTGTCCACCACAACGTCCGTCACTGTCACCACGTCCGTCACTGTGTCACCACAACGTCCGTCACAGTGTCCACCACAACGTCCGTCACTGTGTCACCACGTCCGTCACTGTGTCACCACATCCGTCACCGTGTCCACCACAGTGCGTCACCGTGTCCACCACAACGTCCGTCACTGTGTCACCACAGTGTCCGTCACAGTGTCAACCACAACGTCCGTCACTGTGTCACCACAGTGTCCGTCAGTGTCCACCACAGTGTCCGTCACCGTGTCCACCACAACGTCCGTCACTGTGTCCACCACAGTGTCCATCACGGTGTCACCACAGTGTCCATCACGGTGTCACCACGTCCGTCACTGTGTCACCACAACGTCCGTCACTGTGTCACCACATCCGTCACTGTGTCACCACGTCCGTCACCGTGTCCACCACAGTGTCCGTCACTGTGTCCACCACAACGTCCGTCACTGTGTCACCACAGTGTCCGTCACAGTGTCCACCAGTGTCCGTCACTGTGTCCACCACACCGCCCGTCAGTGTCACCACAACGTCCGTCAATGTCACCACAACGTCCGTCACTGTGTCACCACGTCCGTCACTGTCACCACAACGTCCGTCACTGTGTCCACCACAACGTCCATCACTGTGTCACCACAACGTCCGTCACTGTGTCACCACAATGTCCATCACTGTGTCACCACAACGTCCGTCACTGTGTCACCACGTCCGTCACTGTGTCACCACAACGTCCGTCACCGTGTCACCACGTCCGTCACCGTGTCCACAACGTCCGTCACTGTCACCACAGTGTCCGTCACAGTGTCCACCAGTGTCCGTCACTGTGTCACCACAACGTCCGTCAGTGTCACCACGTCCGTCACCGTGTCCACCACAACGTCCGTCACTGTCACCACGTCCGTCACCGTGTCACCACAACGTCCGTCACCGTGTCACCACAACGTCCGTCACTGTCACCACGTCCGTCACTGTGTCACCACGTCTGTCACCGTGTCACCACAACGTCCGTCACCGTGTCCACCACAACG